TCTCTCAGAAATCACACCATACGGCTCAAGAACTGGACTCTACGGAAAAATTCACCCTTGGTCACCTTGGAGGCGTCACTGGAACACACCTGGATCAACACCTATCCCACGATGGACAACATATCACAAGGATTTCACCCACCAATCCCAATTACAACCCTCAAGCTACACAGACACCCTCAGTACAGTACAACCCCAAATTTACATACACACTCATTTACATACACACTCATTTACATACACACTCATTTACATACACACTCATTTACATACATCTACACTCGTTACATTTCACTTATACATATTACATAACTCATGCATGCAGGCTAAATTAGTGTATTTTCCTTGCATGGCAGCCACAGCTTACATCATCACATTGACTTGTAAACACAACAGAACCTGACCAATCAGAATCACTCTTTCAGCTGTTTGGATCACCACTTCAACACTTGTACATGTCTGACCAATCACATTCACTCATTCAAATTTTGTATGTAGCTAAAATACCTCATGTAATAGCCCAGGCCAGCCAAAATCACTCATTACTGGCTGCCCTGGAGCTAAATTCCCTCACTATTTTCTATATAAGGAGGCTCTCCTCCCAGTTGTTGTCTCCTCAGTGTATTATTCATCAGTCACAGTTTAGTACCACTCAATCAACAACATACAACCTTTACAGAACCTTACCAAACACCAATAACAACCAAATCAACAACTCTTCATCACACAAACTCATTCCTGAACTTTACCCTATCACTTGATTAAAACTTGCCAAGCTGAGCTTGGTGGGTCTTGTTATCTGATAGTATAGAAGGGCAGAGTCTTCACTCCATCATCCCCTTCTCCATTCAGCAAAAAGGGTCTTACAACCACTTTTTGAGTCTTACAAGGGAGTCCCCAACGTGATAGGATAAACTTGTGTGATCTACATCAAGTAATCGAATTTCAACAACTAACGAGAAGGAATCATCAAAGGATCACAACTTCAGCGGGAACCGGATCAAACTTATCAACCATATTTGCGACTACTCAGCGGCATATTCAGTTATTCTGTTGATCAACTAGTCAAACTTCAACAAACAATTCAACGACACCACGAACCAACCTCTGAAAAGAAAGTGTAGGAATCGACTGAAACAAGGACTCGAAGAAGACAGCCAGTTATTAACCAGAAGAAGGAAGATTATCAAAGGATCTGGATAACTAGGATACTGTTCAACGACAACTCAGGAAATATTCGAAAAAAGCAGCTGCTTATAGACCAAAAGAAGGGCAAAGGTACCCAAAGGATTTGGATAAGTAGATTCTGTAAAAGAAGAAATTCCCAGTATTTAACTGATCTATTATTTAAAAGAAAGCCATAAGCTTGCCCTGGTAGAGAAACCAGCGACCAAAGTTTTATTTGTTTCTTTTTCAGAGCAACCGTTTGTTTAGGTATCAAAGGAGTGTCGAGGAAGGAAACCTAGGACAATCAATCAAAATCAACATGAGTCTACCATTTGGTACATCAGATATGGAAGAATTATTTGCTCCACGAACCAATTATAGGAAACGACTTTTTGCGCCAACTTCAAATTTAAACCGGAATACGAAAACTACAATGTCATCATCAAGGCTATCACCACCTTGGATGAAGAACAAGAAGACGGGAAATCTGCCTATATTCAGAACTGGAATCAACAAGAACCTAGATATGGATGAACCAACTTATCAACAACCCAAACAACAGGAATCAATTTATCAACAACCAACTACCCAAAAGGAACCAGTTTTAATTGAACAACCTGGACTTTTCTACGATGGACACCATTTCATGCAGTTTTTGAGGCAATACGAGATGACAGCGGATTCATTTAATGCAACCAAATACGATCGAGCCCTACAGATTGGACGGTTTGTGCAAACCGAGGAACTGAAGTGTCAAATCGAGTCCATGGACGGATACGAGGAATGTGACTGGGATATTCTACGGGCCTCAATGATTGAATTATGGGGTGACAAGTATGAACTTCTGTATACAACAACTGATCTAGTAAAACTTTCTGAAGAATTTTCTAGAGATAACAAAACAGTCAGCTACCAAGCATTCCAGACGTACCTTCAAAACTTTTCCGAAATACTTGATTTCCTCCTCATCCAGAAACAATTGAGAAGTAGACAGGATGCCTTAGTTCTTTTCATCAGTGCCTTTCCTCAAGAACTCCAGAGAAATATCAAACGGAATTTAAATCACAATGGTTGACTTCGACAAGCACCCGACGGATCCAGGTTACCCCCTCTTTGGGAACACCTTACGGAGGCGGCTGGGATAGAGATCAAATTGGAAGAAGAGTATCAAAGATGGTCACGTACTTTGGAAGCTCCTGCCAAACATCCAACCAATGTCACACAGTCTGTGAAAGAATTAGCCAAGGAAATTGAGTCACTCAAACAACAACTTCAAGATATACAATCACCTGTCATATGCAACACTCAACGTCCTTTGTCCCAATTGGAGCCAGCGACGGATTATACGGCACTAGAAACGGATTACACGGAACCAGCGACGGAATATACGGAGCCAGCGACCGATCATACAGAACTAGAAAAGGATTATACAGAAATAGCAAAGGATTATACGGAGCCAGAAACAAATTATACGGAACCCACCATTTCTGATACAGAAAAGTCAATGGATGCTACCATACCTGTGGCCTCAATGAACATGGACAAAGCAGTCACAACTACCAAACTACTGGATCTGGAAGAATGGAAAGCGGCATCAATAAACGTAATGGATAAACCAATGGAGCTTGTACATACAGTAATCAACATCCCAGGAATATCTCTAGATGAATTGGATACCAAGGAAGAAAGCTCAAATCAATCTACACAACTAGAAACATTGGATCAGTCCCCACGGTCCAATAATAATTCTTTACTACTTACAGACACCTTTACAAAATTCAACAACTTCCCTGAAATCCGCGGAAAATTTTGGATGCTTAATATCAACAAATATTTGGAAATCAAGATCTTCAACAATCAAATATTTAAGCCTCTTTTGGACATATTTGGACTTTCACGGATCAATAACCACTCGTCTCAGCACCTGGAAATCAAGAATAACCAAATTGAAGAACCAAAAGACAAGATTATGAGTGCTCCTGCCCCATTGGCTCCTGAGAATCTTGAAACAACAGACTTGCCTATTTCCAGCCAACCATTTACACCATCTATTTCAACTGCATCAATTCCTGAAGAAGTCTTTTCAATTCCAACACCGCCGGATCCACCAGATATTACGACAACATTTATTAATCCACAGAGTGAAGCAAACCGGAAAACTAGACAATTATTAAAGTTAACAATCAACAATCTTGCTCTGTCTAAATTACCAAGGGAATTATTTCTTCTATTTTATTTACTCCAGAAGATCTGTCCTCAGTTACCCCTATCAATTCCGCCAGGCCCTCTTAAAAAATCTTATGGAAACATCAAACCCCCAAGATTACTGGTTGGAGTTGGTTAAAAAGATTAAACAAAAATCATTTTCAATATTGTTCTGTCAAATTCAAGAAGATATCAGCCTTCAAGAATGCAACATCAGAATATTTTTTAAGTTGGGGGAGGAACTCACACTCTTTTATCAGTCACTCTTTCAACCTTCCCCCTTCCTTTATTCACAGAACCTTATACTTCCCTGTTTAAATTTTTTTACAACTCAAAAAAAAACCTCATAAAAAAAATTGGGCCTCCTCCTGGGCATGAGACTAAACTGTTCACACTACAAAAATCACATTACAAAATCTTAGCTTAATTTTTTCAAAATCAGTCAGATGAATATTTTTCAACTTGGGGGAGGACTTACATTCCTTTATACGTCACTATTTACTACCATCCTCCTGCACATACTTCTTGATCCCACAACCACAACACTTGCACACTTCAATCAAACCATCTTCTCATTTGCTTTTTTCTGCCTTTTTTTACCCTCTTTTACCTTCCTCACTTGCACCACTATCACCCCTCTATCTTTCACAAACTTACAATCTTCACCCAATAAAACTCCTTTCAGATTTTTGTCTTACACCTCACTCAGCTTACTGGATTACTCTTTATAAGGTTGAGGACAACCTGTAAAGTTGGGGGAGGGGTGCTTCCTTTCTACTGATCATTATTTAAAATTTTCATTTTTTTTTGTTTACAGCCAAACAGTACATGCCGTACCACAGTAGTATATTAAGAACTATCACCAGAGGGCAACAAACTTACGTCCAGACGATGATGCAATGTGGCTTCAACACAAACCACTAGTTCTATGCTTCGTGGAACAATCAATAACCTTGGAACAGCCAGATGAAACAACCAAGATACAAACCATCAGTTACATGCCCCTCGGACGATTGACAATCTGGAAAAACTTACCTGAGATGGATAGTAGGAATGATTGAGACATGGATTAGCGACTCGGTCATTTTAAACTCAGATTATTGGTCTCGATCACATCAGACAAGCTCGGAATTCCATAGCGACTAGGTTCTTTATTTATTTTTTTGATATCAATGACATTGACCGACAGCGGTTCAAGTACAACGGACCGGATTCTAATCAGAAAATGAGCAAATCAGTGATGAGGAGGGATGAAAACGGTCTACACGACCCCTTTTTCATGCTCTCAACAGTACACAGCACCAACCGAGGAGAAAGCAGAAAAGAAATCTCACCTGACCCTCAATAAACCACCTACGCAACATGCTACACCCCGCAATGGGCCAATCCTAGCCAATCAAGACGCACGATTCGACTGATGGAAGAGGATCGACGCGATCCGATGAGTTCTGACCAATAGAAAGGCAGGATTCAGTGTCAATAGAACTTTTTAGAAGAAAAGGTCACTTACCTATCACCAATCCATCGAAAATACAATCGAAGACCGCGGAAGAAATCGGAAGCCGGTGTCGGTTCGATGACGTCGGCGGTATTGAAGTCGGCTCTCAGATGCGCGTAGGGATATGTACTCAGACCGGAACGGCGTGAACGGAATCAAGAACCGACGGCTCAGCGCTCTCAACTGTGGCCGCAGCTCCAAACAACCTACGCGACGCGCTACGCCCCGTTTCGTTGACCAATCCTAGCCACTCATGTCCTCCCGATTCATTGGGAGGAAGAAAAGCCAGGTGATCTGGCTGCACCTGACCAATGACAAGGCAGGGTTCAGAATCTTCCAGCTGGAGAATGTAAGAAAGAAGAAAAAAAAAAATCACTCACCTGTCGAGGCATGGAAGATCCGATCGACGATGTTGGAATATTTCGGAAGTCGGAGTCAGTCAAGGAGCTCGTCGGCGGGATTGGAGTCGAAGACAGCACCGGCTGACCGGATGCGTGCAGTGATGGGAAATCCGGACCGGAACGGCGCACACAGAACAAGGCACCGGCGGCCCAGCGCTCTCGACTGCGGCCGCAGCCTTCTTTCACCCTTGCGCGACCTCTGAACCAAAACTCAACCCCCAAACCTTCAGAAAACCCCTTGGGCCCCTCCCAAGGGGCTTTGCAGGTAACACAGGCTACCCAGCTACTCAACATCAACAGAGAGGTCATCCAGATGGCCAAAGGCTGCGCAGCTGTGCACAACACACAGTAAAAATAGAAATTTGTATGTAAATAAGATAAAACAAACTGAAAAATAAAACTAAAGCTAAATAAGAGGGAAAAAAAAAAAAAAAAAAAAAAAAAAAAAAAAAAAATGCCCCCCACCTCTGAACTTTTGGGCAGAAGGGGGGTACACAGGGACTTGAGACTGAAATTTACAGGGTAAAACCTGTTAAATCAGATGTAAAAATTAAGTTTAAGGTTTAAAAAGCACAAATACGGCCACCCCAGCTTGGCTTCACTGCAAAGTTGGGGGAGGCTATCACACTCTTTTTTCAGCCACACTCATTTTTTTCCCATCTGTTTTCTCCTTGACTTTTCACTTCATTTCATGTTTAAAAATTAACTCTTTCTCTATTTTCTTCCCATTTTTTCCTGGTAAATTGTCTGGGGACAGACAATAAGTTGGGGGAGGCTGTGGTAGTCAAAAATGTGAAAATTCAAAGTTTTTTCTTTCTTTTTTTCATATATATATTTTCTTCATATTATCAACCAATCTCTCTCAGAAATCACACCATACGGCTCAAGAACTGGACTCTACGGAAAAATTCACCCTTGGTCACCTTGGAGGCGTCACTGGAACACACCTGGATCAACACCTATCCCACGATGGACAACATATCACAAGGATTTCACCCACCAATCCCAATTACAACCCTCAAGCTACACAGACACCCTCAGTACAGTACAACCCCAAATTTACATACACACTCATTTACATACACACTCATTTACATACACACTCATTTACATACACACTCATTTACATACATCTACACTCGTTACATTTCACTTATACATATTACATAACTCATGCATGCAGGCTAAATTAGTGTATTTTCCTTGCATGGCAGCCACAGCTTACATCATCACATTGACTTGTAAACACAACAGAACCTGACCAATCAGAATCACTCTTTCAGCTGTTTGGATCACCACTTCAACACTTGTACATGTCTGACCAATCACATTCACTCATTCAAATTTTGTATGTAGCTAAAATACCTCATGTAATAGCCCAGGCCAGCCAAAATCACTCATTACTGGCTGCCCTGGAGCTAAATTCCCTCACTATTTTCTATATAAGGAGGCTCTCCTCCCAGTTGTTGTCTCCTCAGTGTATTATTCATCAGTCACAGTTTAGTACCACTCAATCAACAACATACAACCTTTACAGAACCTTACCAAACACCAATAACAACCAAATCAACAACTCTTCATCACACAAACTCATTCCTGAACTTTACCCTATCACTTGATTAAAACTTGCCAAGCTGAGCTTGGTGGGTCTTGTTATCTGATAGTATAGAAGGGCAGAGTCTTCACTCCATCATCCCCTTCTCCATTCAGCAAAAAGGGTCTTACAACCACTTTTTGAGTCTTACACCGGTGACATGGCTACAAACCACAAAGTGGCTAGGAAGCTGTCACAAGACTTAGCTGCGGATATCTGTAAGCATATGCATACATGATTGAAGCACCCACTGTCCTGTATCGTAAACTGAAATTCAATCCTATTGATTACAGCAACGACAACAGCGAACAGGAGGAAGAAAAAACAGAGGACCGAACAGAAAGGAATAGAAAGTAACCAACCAGGTAAGCTTAACTAAACTAACTCTGGAGGCCTAAAAAAGGAATAGAAAAACTTACAATAGCATTCTATATCTTCTCCTAGTTGTTAGTGACAGGAAAGAAAACAGGAGAATAACCGAAGCCCATCCAGCAGGAAAAGGCAACGGTAAGTCTGACTGCAAGAAGTGATCAGATTGAGCTACGACACTGAGGAGGCGCAAGCTGATTTCTCTTTCACATAGTGAAATCCAGCACGCTACTCGATCGTATTGGCTAAAGGAGGAAAGGATAGAGATTGTTTGTTTGGACCTAGGTACCCCCAGGTACCTATTCATTTTTTCAAGATAATAGATACCATGTACTGCACTAGACACCTCCCGTGGCTGAGGTACCTGCAACAGACACCTTGGGTACCCCATAGGAGGTGTCTCATTTGGTATATGGTATCTATTTTCATGAAAAAATGAACAGGTACCCCTAGGTACCTAGGTATATACAGGTACCTAGGTCTGAACAAACAATATCTAGGAAAGGATCATTCCTAAAGACAAACCAGTCAGAGTAAGAGCTATTTTCTGAGAAGAGACTGATACAATGATCAGGGAGCTGATGTGACCGCAATCTTGCACACTATCATCTCATGAAGGAAAGAGTTCATCAACTCTATAACATTCTCATTGTTACCATTTCAACTATCTCGCTCTTCATCTCTTTATCTTCACTCCTGCTCCTAGGTTTGTTGCTGTTTATTCTTTCTCTTTTTCTTATAGCTATACACTTTTGTCTAGTCTTAATCTAATAATATGAAACCTAGAATTTTGGATTCTTTCACAGATATCAAAGATCTGGAGAATACAATTGTCATCCTATAAGCCTTGTGATTTTGATGGTACCAGAGGTGGGATGTGTAGATGAGTGCTAGTGGGTGCTATGGGGGAGGGGGAGTTACTCACAGCCAATTGGCTGGACTCCCTAGGGCAAGACTTGCAGCTTTGGATGCAAGTCCCTCCTTCAGAGGTCATGTAGCAACCTCCGAAGGAGGGACCTTGTGTTAAGTTTGTATTGCATCAAGGTAAAAGTATTGGAGGACTTTCTGGAAAGGGTTGGGAGCAGTGAACCCCTTCCAGATTTTCTCCAGCTGGCCCCCCCGCACTACAAGAAAAACTTGTGCAACTGACACCTGTTGACATGCAAGTTTGTACTCAGACAAAGCTCCTGCATTATCTCAGCACAACTGCATGGCAGCTTCTATTGCACAGTTACTGAGCGCAGCGCACAGTCACTGTGCATTGAAGCTTGGCTGAGAGAATTTTGGAAGTGCTTCATGTATTTGTACAAGTATGGATCATGATTGTGGTGCCAGGACCATACCACTTAGATTGCATTAGTCTTGATATCATGGGTAATGACAAAATTGGCCAAGCATCCACATTTTCTTGATGGGTTATGCTTGCGCAATTTGGGAGCCCGTTTGAGTTAACCACCACAAGGACATACATACTCCATTTTGAAGAAGAACTCCTGCCACCAACCGCTACCTGTTGGTGTGCCAGTCAGTTTGGAGGTGTTGTTGGTTGACTTTTGCCGTTTCCACAGGATGGTGGCACCCATTACACAAACAAAATCTTCAGCATCTGTTGATGAATTACCTGGAATTGCAAAGTGATGGGAATTTGCGGGGAATGAAGGAGGTATCCCATCAACTGGGGGGACAAGTCTCAGGGCATTTGGAGGGACACCAATGCCATTGGGGGCTGGAATTTCTGCTGTAAACAGAGGGGGGGGGGGGGGGAACAGCATTGGAGATTTTGACAAGCAGGTAAGAGAATTTGTTTAATTGTAGAAGGGAGCTGTACTGAGACATGATAAAGATCAAATGGACTGGAAGAAAAATAGTTGGAATTGTTGGAGTATATGCTTATACTGTTGTATGCTTCAATCAAACCACATGACAAACCCAATATTTATTTCCTCTCAGAATCAGTCTGGTAGCTTTTTCCCCAGGGAATCTGGACCATAATTTTTTTTTCTTTCCCACTCCTAAAGTGTCACAGACAATCCTTCAGTGAACTTCAGTCATTAGTCTCCCCTGTTTGTCTGCCCATGAATTTGTTGTGGTTTTTGATCTGGAGTGTTGAATTGTGACAAGCATTAAAATTGCAGGGATTGGATTTGATTGACAAGAAGTGGCAAGAATAAATCAAAAGGCTGGAGTGATCAATCTAGGAAAACAATTAAAATAAGTGCAATAAGTGTGGCTGTGGGCCAATGTTTATGCAGCAGGAAACAAGAAATAAATTTGGTGGGGTGAATGGGGAACAAGGGGAATGACCTGGTTCATTGCAGAGCTGAATATGCATCAATTCCTCTTCCTTGCAGAAGGTGTACTTGTGGAGTGAGATCTGCAGTGGATATCATCATCATCTCCCAAAATGGTCAAGTGGAGGAAGGCATGTGATAGGATTTTCTCATGTTTCCAGTAATTGTGAAAACAACAGAGGTTCCCCCTTTTGAAGTTATCTTGTGTGCTGTTTCAAAGACTGCAAACCTTGTTTGTGGGTTTTTCTTAAACTGCATGAACCTTTATTACTCATGTAGCACTGTTACAACCTGTAGTATGATGTAACTGGGAGGGTTCAGTATGTAAGAGAGGTCTGGTGTCCCTCAGGTGTCACAGAAGTATGTGAAGCAGAAGGAGTGGTAATTAAGGGGTACCCTAGCTTAATTTACCTGTAGATTCAGAATCTGCAATTAGATGTTACTGATCAAATGCTACTCAAGTCAGACTATTCACTTTGGAATAGGTAGCATTTACAAAACAATAAAGATTGTGAATAAGAATTTGCACACCAACTGCTGCAAGTTTGGGGAGATTTTTTTTCCAGAGTGAAAAGAGCTTGAGACAATAAGATTGAAGGAGGATAAAAGTGTAATGCATGCAGTACTAAGCCCACTCAAACCACAACATCCAACAATTCAGACAGATAAACATGAAGGGTGACTGCCACATCTGAAACAACTACAATTGCAAAACTTGTAGAAATAAAAACAGGGTGGGGATGATGACAAAGATGATAAAAATTGAACAAAACATATCAAAAAAAAAGTGTGAGAGGAAAGAAAGAAGAAGGAACTGTATCTTCTCTTACAGCAAGACTTTTAAAGCAGAAGAAGAAAAAAAGATTGAGTGGAGGGTTTAGAAGGAGCTGACAGAAAGAAAGAGATACAAAGGGGGGGGGGAGGGAAGAAAACAGAGATGTGTATTTTGAAGTTGTGATTTATAAGATGATTGTGTTTAGAAAGTCTCTTAGTAATATATTTTTTCTGAGGAAAGAAAAATGAGTGAAGAGAGAGAATGAGTAGGGATTTTTTTGGTGGGGTTACATGTTTTTTTGTTTTGTTTTGGGTGACAATTATGAATAAATAGGAATGAAAAGGAAAACAGGAAACAGAAGAGACAACAACATCAAAGAACAAAAAAAGAAGTAGATTCTGGCCTGATTTGATGTTGATACTATGATAATAATTAAGTAATTGGAAATAGAAAAAAGGGAAAAAAGGGAAAAAAAGGAAAAAAGAGAGAAAAGGGACAGAAAGGAAGAGGGAGTAAGATAAATCAACATCTTGAGAGATCTGATTTAGTACCAAAGACAACAACGAAGAAAAACATGATAAAAAAATTGCAAACATGTTCTACATTCTTTTTTCTGCTTATGTTTTGTGAACTGAAAAAATCTGTCTGCAATAATAGATAAATGTATATGTCAACAACTGATACACACTCAAGAAGTGTAAGCGATACAAGGAAAGAAGATGATGGAAAGAGGTCGGTATATATTATTAAAAAAGGTGAAGAGGGCAGTGAGTGGGGATCGTTGTGAGCTTGGATACTAAAGCTAGAAGAAGAATTTGAAGGGGATGTTTAATAAGTGTGAAGAAGAGGATAGATTCATGAAGAACCAAAAGACCAAGAACCATGAGGTTTCTGCCAAGCGGCAATAGGTCTAGGTCTGACGAGCGGGGTAGGACTAGCGAACTGAGGGGTGACGAGGATTGGCTGACTGTTAGCAGAACTACCACCGAGGCTGGAGCTAAGATGGTTGAAGGTAGAGGAGGGTAAAGGCGAGCAAGATGAGGCGGGAGACCAGCTGGCTTGGTCGGGTTTAGTGGGCGAAGTAGAGGACCATTCGGCCCCTGCGCTCGAGAGATGGTTCGCAAATGGTGAGGAACAACCTGGGTTTCGTTGGTTCGAGAAGTCTCGACGGCCTCGTCCGCCTATCCCAACTTGCTTCATCCTGGATGAGGGCAAGAGTCTTTCCCGAGAAATCACGCCTTCTCTCATCGGCTGAGTGAGTTGAAGTAACTCGTTCAATGGATACTCTTGATGGATATCTAATCCATTGCTCTTTTGACTGCTGAGCGATGGCGGAAGTGAACATGATAATAGCCTTTGGCCACTCGACTGTGATATCACAATCGAACAACGAAAAAGTAAGGGTGAAAAGAAACGGAATCGTCAGTCCCACACTCCGAGGGAATGGTCAAGAAGGAGAAGATGACCGACTTGATAAGAAGGGTAACTGGATGGGTCGTGTAATTGGAGTTGGGAGGTGGGAGTGGTCAGGAGCTCGTCAAAGTCCTCATCTTCCTCGTCCTGATTGACGTCCTCCTGGGCCTGGTCGAGTGACTCTTCCTGGTCAGAGCCAGTGGTCGAGGAGATATGGATGGGCATGGAGAAGGACCTGAAGAGGGAGAGCGAGTCGGCAGACGAACAGCCGATCTCCATCGACCGGTCTGAATCTTCTTGTTCATCTCTTCGGTCTTCCTTCAAGCTGGAGATCATCGGCTCGGTTGAAGGTAAGCCGGTCTGAGCCGAATCTTCTACATTGTCGATCGTCTCGATGGTCGGGTGCATGACTTGATGATGAGTGTTTGGCTTGGTAATATTAATCGGAAAAAACAGTCGTGGCTTTGTGGGTTTGTGCAAAAAAAAGTGAGAAAGGGCGGTTGAAATTGAGGAGTGCTTGATCAGACTGTGTCTGTAGCTTGTCGATCTTATGATCCTCCCTGCTGGCTTGGATGTGATTTGTGATTTGAGTTGGTTGTGATCAATCGAAAAGGAGTCTGTGTGAGGTTTCTCTGGGTGGATGTATTTGTGGGAGGGAGGGTGTTGAAGTTCTGGATGACGACAGGGGCGTAGAGAGGAAAACCAATCAGCTGACTCAGCCTTCGAGATGATTGATGTACATATTTAGGTCGTAAGAGAAGGATGAAGAGGGATCAAGACAGATAAGCCAAATAGACATACAACAACGCAATACAACCAAAAAGAACCCTTGAAGGTAACGATCAGCTGATGGGTATTGTAAGACCAGATGAATTCGGAGGATGGTTGTTGGTTGTTTGGTTAAGTTATGTACCGGTGACCAGCTTCTCGGAATCCGACGGCAAGAGGGTTTTGAGTGTGCGAGATGAATATGAGGAGAGTATGCTGAGTAGGAAGGACGATGGATGGAATCAGGCGAGGGGATAACTCTGGAGGAGGCAATCTGCGTTACTAAGATGACTGGCTGTTTCTTTTTTGAAGTTCACCGGTGTTGCTTGATCCTGATAACTGCCACCAATTTATTTAAGTAGGAAATTAACTGGTGTGGTTTGGACTTCGGCAAACCATTTATTGTGGAACGTGTTTTTGACGAGTACATATCATGAATTGATTACCTTATTTACCCCCACATATCATGTATTGTACACTGCATCGGGGTTGTTTTG